TAGGGTTTAGGGTTTAGGGTTTAGGGTTTAGGGTTTAGGGTTTAGGGTTTAGGGTTTAGGGTTTAGGGTTTAGGGTTTAGGGTTTAGGGTTTAGGTTGTAGGGTTTAGGGTTTGGGGTCTAGGGTTTAGGGTTTTCTATATATATATATGCCAAACCCACTGAAGCTGCATTTAATAAACTACTATTGCCTAAGAACCACCAAAAAAGATGATCAGCCCTATACTACCCTTATAAGGAAGAGTATGTCTCATTTTCGGGATGGTTCTAAAGCGAACAGGTGATTATCTGGCATCCAATTCTCAAAAACACAGAAAACCATTGAAGTCGACGTTGCTACTTTCGACTTCTACAGCTCCACCGTGCTAAGGCTGATCGTCAATCCCTTGTACTGTCGGCAACCATGGCGTGCGCACTACTCCAAAAAACCTTACTCCTGAGTAATAAACCCCTGGAACCCTAGACCCTAGACCCAAAACCCAGAACCCCAAGCCCTAAACCCGAACCCTAAACCCCAAACCCCAAACCCAACTCCCAGGAGTCGCGCAGTCGGATCGTGGAGTACTTGAAGCCGTAGAGCGTGATCAGTGCCTGGCTTCTTAAAGTTTTAGAGTTTAGGGTCAAGGGTTTGGTGCTTAGGGTCTTGGGTTTAGGGATTAGGGTTTAGGGCTACTTGTGTTCCTTTTGGCTCCTTCAACTCTCAGGAATACCATACCTTGACCTCCAAGTTGCTCATCAAGGTCTTTGGGCTTTTAAGGTGTGGGGGGGGGTGGGGGAGGGGGGCCGGGTTTACATCTCTGGGCAAACTCCGATCTCGACTGCCCCCATGCACCGAAAAACTGCAGCAAGATAAAACAAAAACCCAGGCCCTAAACCCTAAGCCCTAAATCCTAAACCTCGCCAGGGGCACCCGGTGCATGAATGGCTGGGCTTCCGTTCCGATCTCCATGGTTCCACCCTGCGGCACAATGCGGGGCTGCGCGCAAACACGCCGAACCCTTCACTACTCGGCCGCATATGAAGCAGGGTATAAATTTCTCCAAAAGGACACCCGGTACATACGCTCACCAATATTCAAAAGCAACCTTATATACACTCACCAATAACAGCAATATAAACCCTGCTTCATTAACCCCTTATACCCTAAACCCTAAACCCTAAACCCTAAACCCTAAACCCCAAACTAAACCCTAGCTCTTGGGCTGCAGCACACTCCAGAAGCCGCATTCCCCAAGCCTAATTTGGGGTTCATTCAAGGGGAATGTCCGCTTCATGCCTAAACCCTAAACCCTAAACCCTAAACCCTAAACCCTAAACCCTAAACCCTAAACCCTAAGCCCTAAACCCCGCGGCCGGCCTTCACCCAGATGTACGTGGCCTGGAGGTGAATGTCCTTGTTGTCAAAGACCAACACACCTGCGATCTTCACACGTGCCCCTTAGGGCCTTAGGGCCAGGGCTCAGGGTTCAGGGTTCAGGGTTCAGGGTTGAGGGTTGAGGGTTAAGGGTCTAGGGTTTAGGGTTTACTGTAGGGTTCAGGGTTTAGGGCCAGGCCTCAGGGGGCTTAGGGGGCTTATGGGGTTTAGGGGGGTTTAGGGGGTTTAGGGTCTGCAGCCGCTTCCGCTGGCAAGGGATGAGATGTTTGAGCTCATGAAGCCCTAAACCTCAAAATAAGCTCCACCTGGGTTGAGGGTTTAGGGTTTAGGGTTTAATTAGGGTTTATGGTTTGGGGCAACAACGGCTAAACCCTATAAACCTCATCCAGCACGGGCCTAATCACAAAGAGTTGGCAATAGTTCCCGGGATCCTATCCCCTTATACTTATCTCTACCCAACAGATCCCTTCTAGTCAAGGAGGCCCCGATATCACAGTAGACAGATTTGCTAAGGACAACTCCTAATAAAGAAACGCCTATAAAACCGCATAAAGCCCTCCATGGAGCCCCAAAACCAGAAAGCCACCAGGTAAACTAGCCCTCATAAACCCTAAACCCTGGGCCCGAGGCCCTAAACCCTAAACCCTAAACCCTAAACCCTAAACCCTAAACTCTAAACCCTAAACCCTAAACCCTAAACCCTAAACCCTACACCCTACACCCCACCCTCCCCGGCCTTCCACGCTGAGCATCAGCAGCTTCGGCGTGTCTTCATCCTGGGAGCTTTTGGTCTTCGGGATCTCGGGAGTTTCTGGAGTTTAGGGAGTTTAGGGAAATTTATGGGGGTTTTAGGGGAATTTATAGAGTTTAGGGAGTTCAGGGAAATTTATGGGGGTTTAGGGAAATTATAGAGTTTCGGGAGTTTAGGGATTTTATAGAGTTTAGGGAGTTTATAGAGTTTAGGGAGTTTAGGGCTGTAGCCTAGACCCAAGACGAACCGAGGAATAAACAGGGCGCCCTTTTTGGGTTAAAGGGGTTTAATCCTTTGCACACTCCAGTTTGAGGACTAACTATTACGCCCGGCAAACTCGAGTGCAGCAAGACCGATCTATGCCATTATGCAAGATACAAGTACCTAGGCGCCCGAACTACCGCAATGTATGCTCTGTTTTTCGGGGACAGGCCATTCTTCCTGATACCTTGAAAATTCACGGGTTCAAGTAAGTATCCCTCAACAAGCCCGAAGCACTAGGATGCAAGAGGCAAGGCAACCGGAAAGCCAACTTGGGATAGCGTTTGGGGTTTGGGGTTTAGGGTGCTTGTGTGCTATGAAGAATACTACGATCTTGCCTTGCGGGTGGGCGACCTACATAGCGCCTGATCCGAATCTCGATGGCACGTTAGGGTTCGGTGCTTGGAGACATTAAGGAATTCAGGAGTGAGGGTGAGCTGACATCACTTAGGACCACATACCACAAGCCCACGACTGACCGCCCAGAAGATCCACGCCTGACGGATTGGCACCTGGTAGCCCTAGGACCTACACCCCCAAACTCCAACCCTAGAATTACCCCAAAGCACTTGGGGCTCGTGCCAGGAGGATGGCTTGGCCTGTTGGAATGATCACCAGGGCATCGTCCAATGGAGGCTCCTGCTTAGCTCTGGCGCTTTGGGTTAGGGTTTAGGGCGTAGGTTTTTGGAGTTTAGGGTTTAGGGTTTTGGGTATGGGGGCTGGTTCTGTATCTGTCTGCTTCTTGCTCTCGTGCCCACAAAAATAGGGCTGTCCACCTACTATACCTACTGTTCGATTAAGAACCCCCAAAAAGGTACAAGAATAATCCCTACACTGCCCTCATAGGTAAGTTTGTTTTGTTGTCTTTAGGGGTTCTTAAGCAAATAGTAGATACTGAAATCTGCAGAGCTCAGCCGCTTTTGGAGCACCGCCCACGTCCCTGCCTGGTTCGCCCAGGTGTCGAGCAAGGACCACCGATCCAGGTAGCGCCAACCTCTCAGATAAGGCTGCAAAGGCTAAACGCTAAGGGGAACCCAAGTGAGCCGGGCGGAGGGGCGGGCTAAACCCTAAACCTTAAGTACCAAGCCCCCAGACTGTCACCACCAAGTGAAAGCTTGCTACTATCGACGATATGTATTTATATATATATATATATGGATAGATATGTGTAGAGAGGTAGAGAGAGAGAGAGAGCGCGGACGCACCGAAATTCTTGTAGAGATCCACTCCTCCCTTCTCCCCCAAGCACGAGAAAGCCCAAGGTACACGTCCCAAAAACCTGAGCCCTGAAGCCCCAAACCTTAAGCAGTAAAACCGCGAAAAACCCCTGAAACCCTGCACCATGGCATGCTATCAAACAAAGCTTCAACGACTCTACCCTACAAAACCCCCAAAACTTGAGACCCCAAACCCCCACACCGCAACCTGCCCCCCTAAACCCTGAACCCTGAACCCTAAACCCTAAACCCTAAACCCTAAACCCGAAACCCTAAACCCTAAACCAACATCTGTGGCCCCTGGCGGGTGTTCGGGGCCACCCAAGCGCTGCCAGCACCTTGCAAGGGAGTCTTAATTGGGGGTTTAGGGTTTAAGGTTTAGGGTTTAGGGTTTAGGGTTTAGGGTTCCAGGGTCCAGGGTCCAGGGTCCAGGGTCCAGGGTTTAGGGTTTAGGGTTTAGGGTTTAGAGTTTAGAGTTGATGGTTACGAGGCCCTGAAGATGTAGGGACAGGCTTGCGAGCTCGGGGGTCTACGGGTACAGGATTTAGGGCTCAGTCCTACCAATAAGGATGCAATCCTTTTTGCTATAGATGCTATAGACCATCATGGTGGCCCCTTGGGTTTAGCTTCAGGGTGTAGGGTTTACCAGATTTTTTGCGAAACTCCCCACTAAGGAGTCTCTTACGAACTCGGAATCCTGCATGGCATACCTGCTCCGGACCCTTCGCAAGCGCTGACCCTTCACAAGCCCTGCGGCACCCTAAACCCTAAACCCTAAACCCTAAACCCTAAACCCTAAACCCTGAAAAGCCCTCATATATGCCCTAACCCCACTCCCCAAAAAAACCCTCGGCGTGAGGATAATGAGCTTCTTGGTAGCCCAGGAAACATATTAAAATAAGGGCACCCGTTTTGTACCACTGGGCTACCAAACCCCAAACCCTAAACCCTAAACCCTAAACCCTAAACCCAGGCTTGAGCCAAGTAGGGTTTAAGACCAAAACTGTGTGAACCCTTGCAGGGCTGGTAGCCCCAAACCCTAAACCCTAAACCCTAAACCCTAAAACCCTAAACCCTAAACCCTAAACCCTAAACCCCCAAACCTAGCAAGAAAAAAGGGTGCCCCCTTTTTGGCTAACGGGACTTAGACAGTAAGAAAAGGGAATAAGGGCCCTACTCTGGGTCCTCGTAGCCCTGAACCCTGAACCCTAAACCCTAAACCCTAAACCCTAAACCCTAAACAGCAGCGTTGAAGGGCCGGGGGGGGCGGGGGGGGTGGCCTGAAACGAAGAGCTTCACGCTGGGTGGGAAGATGCCACGATTTCGAGGAGTCGTGACCTGGAAGCGTGAAAAGTGGAGGAGCTCTGCGGGGCCCTTGAATCTTGAGGTGTCTAGGGCTCCCAAGGGCTTCGAGTTGCTTTGGGTTTAGGGTTTAGGGTTTAGGGTTTAGGGTTTAGGGTTTAGGGTTTAGGGTTTAGGGTTTAGGGTTTAGGGTTTAGGGTTTAGGGTTTAGGGTTTAGGGTTTAGGGAATGTAGGGCTACCTGGGATTGAAAACCAACCCGCCCGTGCGCCGCGCAAAGAACCCTAAGCCTCACCCTAAACCCTAAACCCTCAACCCTAAACCCTAAACTCCTAAGCCCTAAGCCTAAGCCCTAGGCCCTAGGCCCTGAGCCCTGTGGAAGCCTTGAACCCTAAACTCTGAAAACTGAGAAAAGGGCCTGCAGCACGCCACCGGTTCGTCCTAGACCCGTCAACCGTAAATCCTCCGCCCCCAGCCTAACTAGGATGGCCCCTTAAACCATCTGAACAAATTTGTTTTTAGGGTTTAGGGTTTAGGGTTCAGGGTTTAGGGCTTAGGGTTTAAAATATCTTGAGTCCATTGGTCAACGGCAAGTCCTCCACCCCCAGCCTAGCTAGGCTGGCCCCTTAAACCATCTGAACAAATATTTCGGAAAACATGGTCCTCCCAAGTCCAGCGAGGGAAAATTCACAATCCCAAGGCTACCTCCAAAACGCTACACCCTAAACCCTAAACCCTAAAACCCTGAATGAAACGAAAAGACCCATTGAATCCCAGCGAGCTCCATGTGGCACGCATGAGGAGCGATGTCGGGGGCCCCGCACATTTCACAAAGGTGGGAGCCACCTGGCCGGTTCAGGGTTTGGGGTCTAGGGTTTGGGGTTCGGGGTTTAGGGTTTAGGGTTTGGGGTTTAGGGTTTAGGGATTAGGGGGAACCCTAGAGGATGTACCCCCTAAGAGGTTTCCCCTAATATACTCCTAATATGGCCCTTATCTACTATTTTGTAAAGAACCCCCGAAAAATTTGCACCAAATATACCGTAAAGGCAATGCAGGGATTATTATTTTAGTTTTTTTTTTTTGGGGGGGGGGGGGGGGGGGGGCAATTATGCAAACAGTAAACCCGAGGGTGCAACCTGAGGCGTCCAAGGTAGAGTCCCCTTGCCTCGACCTCCCAGCTACTTCCCAAAGTTCTGGGAGGCCCTGAATTGGGTAGTTCTCTAAAGTGGGGTTTGGGGTTAGGGTTAGGGTTTAGGGTTTAGGGTTTAGGGTTTAGGGTTAGGGTTTAGGGTTTAGGGTTTAGGGTTTAGGGTTTAGGGTTTAGGGTTTAGGGTTTAGGGTTTAGGGTTTAGGGTTTAGGGTTTAGGGTTTAGGGTTTAGGGTTTAGGGTTTAGGGTTTAGGGTTTAGGGTTTAGGGTTTAGGGTTTAGGGTTTAGGGTTTAGGACTACCCAATTGCAGCTCACAGCGTGAACAGAGTCAAGGACGGTGGGGTTCCCTTGGTCGAAGGCTGAACGGCTTAGGCTTTGTGGCTCGAGGCCTAAAATGCATCAAACCCTAATTAAGCCCTACACCCCAAACCCTAAACCCTATACCCCAAACCGTAAACCCCAGCTAGGGTTGGCCCCGGATTCCTGGAAAACGTTTCGAACGACCACAATCGGGATCTGAACAGGCGCGTAAGGGTCTTTAGGCTTCTGGAGGGGGGGGGGGGGGGTCCCGCCCTTAGACCCCTTAGGACAACTACCCTTGTGGTTTAGGGTTTAGGGCTTAGGGCTTAGGGCTCAGGGCTTAGGGCTCAGGGTTTAGGGGTTAGGGTTTAGGGTTTAGGGTACAAAAGGCCTCCATCACCAGGCACTCGTAGCCGTTGAACTCCACAAACACAGGCGCCTCGCTAGTCTAAAAAGATCCCGGACACAAGGTTCTCAAGTAAGCTAGGATGAACAGAAGCCGTCTTTACTACGGGGCTTCTATAGAAGGCAGCCTAACCCTAAACCCTCAACCCTAAACCCTGGAAAGGAAAACAGTGCACTTGGGGTCCTAGCAAAGACCACTCCGCCAAAACCCGGCCAGAAGCAAAAAACCCTGCACCCTACCCCACCCCCCCCCCCACCCAAGGGGAAAGGGTTTCGAGTCTTGAGTTTATGGTGTAGGGGAGAATTCCTCAAGTCCTCCGCCTTATAGCCCTATAGGCCCATATGGGTTTGTATGCTAATGGGGAGGCGCGTGACACGTGTTGGGGTCGGGGTATGTTTCGCGGGTATGTTTCGGGGTATGTTTCGGGGTATGTTTCGGGGGTATGTTTCGGGTATGTTTCGCGGCATCAGGAGCTAATTTACCTGCAATTTCGGGGGTATGTTACGGGGAATGTTTCGGGGGTATGTTTCGGGGTATGTTACGGGGTATGTTTCGCGGGTGTGCAACCCGTGTGCCATTCTTAAACCTGAGCCCCCCAAAAAATCACAAACCCATATAATCGTTCAAGCCTCAAGCCCTCAAATCCAGAACCGAGCTCAACCCTTGACCCCAAACCCACAAACCCTTAAGGTTTAGGGTTTCAACTTAACCCCCAAACCTAAACCCTGTAGAGTTTAGGGTTCTAGTCTTACTTAGCCCATCACCAAGAAGGTCCACCTACCGGTGGGTTCCTTAGTATGTAGAAATGGGACCCTAAACCCCAAACCCTATACCCTAAACCCCAAAACCCTAAACCTCTAAACCCTAAATCCCTAAACTCTTCAAACCCTAAACCCCAAACCCTAGACCCCAAAGGGCCCCCTCCAAAACCGGGGCCCCTTGCGCTCTCATTCTCGGCTTCCACTCCATCGGCCTGGTGGGACTTGTGAGAGAGGGGTTTTTGAGGGGGGGTTTAGGGGTTAGGGGTTAGGGTTTAGGGTGTAAGTTAGGGTTTAGGAGGGGAGATGCCACAATGTCCTCGCACTGTCGGCGAAAAGTGCATACAGGCCAAAGGGCTGAACCCTAAACCCTAAACCCTAAACCCTAACTAACCCTGTAAACCCCAAACCCTAAACCCTAAGCTCCAAACCCTGAACACTAAACCCCAAACCCCAAACCCCAAACCCCAAACCCTAAACCCCAAGCCCCAAACCCCAAACCCCAAACCCCAAACCCTAAACCTCAAAGTTGTGAGTGACCCAGGTGCTGGGCCGACCAGGTCGCTCCGAAGTTGCTGCCGCCGATGGTCACCACCCTGGCAGCAACTGCGTCTCGTGCAGCACTTCGTTGCAGGGTTTCTTGGGTTTAGGGTTTAGGGTTTAGGGCTTGGGGCTTAGGGCTTAGGGGATTTAGGGTTTAGGGCTTGGGGTTTAAGGAATTTAGGGTTTAGGGCTTGGGGTTTAGGGTTTAGGGTTTAGGGTTTAGGGTTTAGGGCTTGGGGTTTAGGGTTTAGGGTTTAGGGCTCAGGGCTTCGGGTTTGGGGATGAAGCCCTCTTTGGGTCAAAAATAAGATGATGCGGAGCATCACAAACTATTCTCATCCTCATCTTCAGCGTCCTCCTCATCATCATCATCATCATCTTCATCCCCAAACCCTAAACCCCAAACCCTAAACCCTAAACCCTGAACCCCAAACCCTAAACCCTAAACCCTAAACCCTAAACCCTAAACCCTAAACTCTAAACCCTAAACCCTAGTCCCAACACAGCGCCGGTGTCACGTACCACCGCGAGCGGTGCCGTTGCTCGGAGAGATGCTGTTGACGGTTGGCCTCAAGAGGCCCTTTGCGGGTGCCCCCAGGGTTTAGGGTTTAGGGTTTAGGGTGTAGGATTTGGGGTTGGGGTCCATAAGACGAAGGATCCAACTTGAAGGAGAAGTCTAGATAGACACGACATGATCCCGCGTCACAGCGTCCCATGTCTTGTGGATCCCTGCGAATCTTTCCCAACCAACCCTGGAACCCTAAACCCTAAACCCTAAACCCTAAACCCTAAACCCTAAACCCTAAACCCTAAACCCTAAACCCTGGGAAACTCGAAGGTGTGTAGGGCCCCGGGCGTCTTGTCGAGGGCAAAGGTGACAGTTGAGTTTACATCGTCACTGGTGACCCACCTGGCAGCAATGGCCCACGAAGACAAGAAGGCACTGTTCACGGTTGCAGCTGGCATCCCACAGCCGATTTTCTCAGGGTCCATGTACCCATGTAGTATACTTGGGGCCTAAACCGGGTTCCCATCTAGTAGCTTACTAGGGCCCAAGTATACTCTAGGGGCCTTAATAATTAGAATAGGGCTTTGGGGTTATTGTAGTATTACTCCCACCCCTATATTAGGGGACCCTAAGGGCGACCGCACTTCAAATCGGAAAGCTTGCTGTAGCTGCGCAGAGCCTATCGCTTTCAAAGCACTGCTGACGGGGTATCAACACCAGCAGCGGGCGACATGGCTACCCAAAGGCTCCTATGTGGTACCTTTTTGGGGTAGCATACGAGAATCCCCTATAACTAGCCCAAGAAGGAACTACATTGGAGCCTTTCGCTATAGGCTGGAGCTGGGACGCGGCCTTTCTGTTGCAGTCCTTGAAACTTGCGGAGATTCGGCTCAGGGAGGCTCTGAATCTACCGGCCCCGCTGCCTCAGACTGCCGGTGGCCCTAAACCCTAAACCCTAAACCCTAAACCCTAAACCCTAAACCCTAAACCCTAAACCCTAAACCCTAAACCCTAAACCCTAAACCTTCACCCCCCCCCCCCCCCCCCCCCAAAACCCCCCATAAAACCCCCAAAACCAACAAGGCGCTTGGGAGCCCCGCGAGGTGAACGCCTGTCCGAAGACCTCGTCGTTGTGGATGCCGCCGCGCCAGGCCTGGCTCTTGGTAGCTGAAGTTACCATACTCTAATAAGGGCTCGAACAGGCGGGTGTAGGGTTTAGGGTTTAGGGTTTAGGGTTTAGGGTTTAGGGTTTAGGGAAAAGGGAACCTTGAACCACAAAGAGGGAAAAGGGTACCGCTGGGCTACCAGGGGTTGCCGTTAAGGGTCTTATAGGGTTTTCGGCGTGTTCGGCTCAGGGTGCCTAGAAGGGTTTCGGGTTCTTGGTTTTCAGGGCTCTAGGCTTTCTTTTTTTTTAATAACACGGTGGGCTTTAGCTACTAGGGCCTACAGGGCTTTAGGGCTTCAGGGTTTTGGGATGTAGGGCCCTGAACCCGAAACCCTAAACCCTAAACCCCAAACCCTAAACCCTAAACCCTAAACCCTAAACCGCAGCTCTGCCAGGGCTTAGGGGCACCGTCTTGGCAAGCCCCAACACCTTACTACAGGGCTCAACAGGGAGGACCCCAGGTTTCCCGAATACTCCCCACTACATACTTTAGTGGGGTTTAGGGTTTAGGGTTTAGGGTTTAGGGCTTGGGGTTTAGTGTTTCGGGTTTCTTTCTTGGGTACGTACCCCCCCCCCCCCATGAACCCCCTCCCTTAAGGATCCTATAACCACCTGATAAACCTCCTCGGGGTTGTGCCCTTCTGTTTTGTGGACCCTTCTTCAAGATTCCTGAGGTGATATAAGTGACATAAGGCCCTAAACCCTTAAACCATTAAACCCCTAAACCCCTAAACCCCTAAACCCCAAAACCCCAAAACCCCAAAACCCCAAAACCCCTAAACCCCTAAACCCCTAAACCCCTAAACCCCTAAACCCCTAAACCCTAAACCCCAAAACCCTAAACCCCGACCCCTGAATCCTAAACCCTAAACCGTAAACCCTAAATCGTAAACCCTAGCCCTAAACCCTAAACCCCTAAACCCCAAAACACCAAAACCCCTAAACCCCTCAACCCCTCAACCCCCAAAACCCCTAAACCCCTAAACCCCTAAACCCCTAAACCCTAAACCCCAAAACCCTAAACCCCGACCCCTGAATCCTAAACCCTAAACCGTAAACCCTAAATCGTAAACCCTAGCCCTAAACCCTAAACCCCTAAACCCCTAAACCCCAAAACCCCTAAACCCCTCAACCCCTCAACCCCCTAAACCCCTAAACCCCTAAACCCTAAACCCTAAACCCTAAATACCCTAACCCCTAAACCCTAAACCCTAAACCCTAAACCCTAAACCCTAACCCTAAACCCCTAAACCCTAAACCCTAAACCCCTAAACCCCTAAACCCCTAAACCCTAAACCCCTAAACCCCTAACCCCACACCCTAAAAACCCCTAAACCCCTAAACCCCTAAACCCCTAACCCCTAAACCCCGAAACCCCTAAACCCCCAAAACCCTAAACCCTAAACCCTAAACCCTAAACCCTAGTCCTAAACCCTAAACCCCTAAACCCCTCAACCCCCCAAAACCCCCAAAACCCCTAAATTCTCAGCTGTGGGCCGTCCGTCCCACGTCCATCTGGAGGTTCGGTCCAGTCATGCTGCGGACCTCGAAAAAATGCCACGTCCTAGTCGCGGTTTAGGGTTTAGGGTTTAGGGTTCAGGGTTCAGGGTTTAGGGTTTAGGGTTTAGGGTTCAGGGTTTAGGGTTAGGCTTGGGTTTTTGGGCTTTAGGGTTTTTGAGGTTTTGGGTTTTGTGGCTTCAGGGTTCTAGGCTTTTGTTGGGATCGTGGTTTTTGGGTTTGGTGAGGTTTTCTGGCTGTTGGGCTTTGGGGGTGAGTGGGCTTTTGGGCTGATTTTGGGGTTTTGTAAAATTGAGGTTTTCTGGCTGTTGGGCTTTGGGGGGGCTTGGATTTTGGGGGTTTAGGGTTGAGGGTTGAGGGTTTAGGGTTTAGGGTTTAGGGTTTAGGGTTGTGGCTGTGGGCTCTAACCCGAGCCCGCAGCGTTGCGCACTGCCACCTGGCACGTGTCGGACGGCGCGACCAGCTGGCCGATGACCTTCCGAGTACTCCGAGAGATCAGGGCTCAGGGCTTACGCTTAGTAACGACACCCCCCATCTATCTTCGGGTAGTTTCATGGTGCCTTAATATGGGCCCTTACAAGGGGGCCCCTTATATACCCTATACAACCCAATGGCCCATACTTCATGACCCTTTCAAGGAGGGAAGGGATCATATTAAGGGCCCATGTACTTGGGAGGTTCATGGTACTTAGTAAACCAATTATGCTTGTACTTATAACCCAATTATAACCCTGTTGGGGGTACTTCAGGGGCTAAAACGTGGGTTAGAAGTAGACTTAACTAGGTGTCGATTTCAACAGTCTCCAAAATTATTCATAATTGGGGCTTCATATTCAAACCCTGTCGGACTCTGCTGCCGGAGGGCCTTCTGAGGCGCGCTCTAGGCACGGTAGGCTTTCGTTGTGTGACCCTAAACCCTAAACCCTAAACCTTAAACCCTAAACCCCAAAAGTATACCCTTAGACAGGCCCCCAAAACCCCCAAAAAACATCCTACAGCAACGGGGGGGGGGGGGGGGGGCATCGTGCCTGCATCTCAGTGAGCTGGCAGTTGCCTTGCAAGAGCAAGGGTTTAGGGTTTAGGATTTAGGGTTTAGGGTTTAGGGTTTAGGGTTTTAGGGTTTAGGTTTTAGGGTTTAGGTTTAGGTTAGGGTTTAGGGTTTAGGTTTTAGGGTTTAGGGTTTAGGGTGTTAGGTTAGGGTTTACGGTTTAGGGTTTAGGGTTTAGGGTTTAGGGTTTAGGGTTTAGGGTTTAGGGTTTAGGGTTTAGGGTTTAGGGTTTAGGGTTTAGGGTTTAGGGTTTGGGGTTTGGGGTTTGGGGTTTTGGGGTTAGGGTTTAGGGTTTAGGGTTTAGGGTTTAGGGTTTATGCAGGGCTTAGGGCTTAAGGTTCAGTTCCCGGTGGCCAACAAGGAGGTGTTCGGGGAGAAGATTTGGTAACTTCGCTAACTTGTGATCCCTTATGGGGTCCTCATTCTATGGCGGCCCATTAGTGGAGCTGAGTTCATAAGCCCCAAGAAAGTGTACACTTTCAGTTCTATAGGGGTTAGAGCATTCTCCCCAAAGATGTAAGGTGCACTCATTCAGCTGCAAAGGCCCCCACTGCTTTCGGGCACCCGCAAAGGACCCATCATAAACCCTAAACCCTAAACCCTAAACCCTAAACCCTAAACCCTAAACCCTAAACCCTAAACCCTAAAACCCTAAACCCTAGACTGGCGACAAGCAGGGTCCGAACCGGTAAGAAGCGTCCCAGCTGAGGCTCTGAGCAGAATCAAACTCTCGCTACACTACGTGCAACCCCCTAAACCCTAAACCCTAAACCCCTAACCCCTAAACCCTAAACTTGTTTGTTGCCCAGGAAACGCCCCAAGTGAGCTTGCCTAAACCGTCGGAAGGGCCAACCTTTGTTGGAGGTTACCAACAGAACCCTAAACCCTAAAACCCTAAAACCTCAAACCCTAAACCCTAACCCCTAAACCCTAATCCTAAACCCTAAATCCTAAACCCTACACCCTAAACCCTAAACCCTAAACCCTGCTACAGACCCCAGCATCTTCTCCGCCTGTCGGCGACAGGAAGCGCACGTAGCGTCCGATGAGCGGGGTGGTGGGCCTGGTCTGGAGGGCTGGTTTAGGGTTTGTAGGGTTTAGGGTTTAGGGACGTTTAGGGTTTAGGGTTTAGGGTTTAGGGTTTAGGGTTTAGGGTTTAGGGTTTACGGTTTAGGGAGGGGCTTGCTTTTCGGGCTTAGAGAATTCAGAGGCATGAGGGTGTCAGGTTGCGGGGAAGAGAGGTTTATTGCCTAGAGGTTGGGCGTTTCGGGATGAGGCTTTCGGGTTTAGGGGGGTTTTAGGGCTTAGAGAACTCGTGGGTTTGGGGTTTATGGCTTGAGGGGTTTCGGGCTCGCAAGGATGAGGGTTTGGCTGGCTTTTAGAGGGAACAGGGCATAGGAATGTTCAGAAAAGGTTGAACTTGACGGTGCCCCCGTGACCCAAAACCGGGGTTTAGGGTTTAGGGTTTAGGGTTTAGGGTTTAGGGTTTAGGGTTTAGGGTTTAGGGTTTAGGGTTTAGGGTTTAGGGTTTAGGGTTTAGGGTTTAGGGGTTTTTCGATCTTTGCACGGAGGCAGGGGGGACACGAGGATGGTTTTAGGATGGTTTTAGGGTTGGGGATGTTGGGCAGGGCGGCTTGAGGCAGTTTAGGCTTTTGGGGTTTCGGGTTTCCCGGATGCGACAAGGCCCGCCAAGCGATCTGCCAGTGCCTCTCGAGCTGGAATGCCGCCGCCCCCCCGCACAAACCCGAAACCCTAGACCCTAAACCCAAACCCTAAACCCTAAACCCTAAACCCTAAACCGAGGCCTCAACCGCACCTCCAGCCTGTGTCTGGGGCCAAAGCAGTCCGTTCAACCCGTAATACCCTAATACCCTACACCCGATGCTCGGAAACCCCTCAAGTCCTAGACCCCAGAGTAACCTAGCAACCAAAGGGCACCCTTTATGGGGTTTAAAGGGTGTATATCAGGGAACCTAACCCAAAAAAAAAGTGAATAAGGTCCTACTCTGGGTCCTAGGTCCTAGCAGCCCTAACCCCTAACCTACTCTGGGTCCTGGAGTCCTAGGTCCTAGTAGCCCTAAACCCTAAACCCTAAACCCTAAACCCTGAACCCTAAACCCTGAACCCTAAACCCTAAACCCTCCCTTAAGGACCCTCTAACCCTAGCGTGTTTGCGTTGCCGTCGGCAGAGTCTGAGCACCCCACACCACCTCGTTCCAGAGCATCTTCGGTGCCACCCTGGCCCACTTCGCTCTCTTAGGGTTTAGGGTTTAGGGTTTAGGGTTAGGGGTTTAGGGTTTTAGGGGTTTAGGGGTCTAGGGGTCTAGGGGTCTAGGGGTCTAGGGGTCTAGGGGTCTAGGGGTCTAGGGGTCTAGGGGTCTAGGGGTCTAGGGGTCTAGGGGTCTAGGGGTCTAGGGGTCTAGGGGTCTAGGGGTCTAGGGGTCTAGGGGTCTAGGGGTCTAGGGTTTAGGGTTAGGGGTTTAGGGTTTGGGGTTTGGGGTTTGGGGTTTGTTGGGCTTAGAGTCTTAGAGGGGTTTGGGTTTAAGGGCTTGGGGGGTAATTCGGCCGGGTTTGGGACTGGTTACATAAAAGTCTTCCCTACATGATCCGCCCCCCCCCCCTCCCCCCCGCCCCAAAGCCATAGGCCACTGTTGCTCCATGTATAAAAGCCTAAACCCTAAACCCTAAACCCTAAACCCTAAACCCTAAACCCTGTAAAACCCGGTCTTCGGCACATGCCGAGGCCACGTGATGGTGGTGATGTCCGTCCAGTCGATCTTGGGCACCTTTGGGTTGCAGTACTCGCCTGGCACGTGGATGGCTTTCGGAAACCCTAACCCCTAACCCCTAACCCCTAACCCCTAAACCCTAAACCCTAAACCCTAACCCCTAAACCCTAAACCCTAAACCCTAAACCCACCCCAAACCCTAAACCCTAAACAAATTTGACTCGTTGCAGTGTGCAAGCCGCAGCCAGCACCCTGAGTGTTCAAACCCTACAACCCAAGCAGACTTCTCCCACAAAGGGATGCAAACGCGCCGGCTCCACGTCTCCTCCCTTTCTTGGTTTGGCACCAAATGCCCCCCTCGTATCCTGGGGTTTAGGGTTTAGGGTTTTGGGTTTAGGGTGTATGCGCCTGTCCATGCATAGACACTGCATAATATGCAGAAGAAACGTCGACTTCCGAACTTTGAAGTCCTCAACACCTTCTCAGAGTCAGATTAGGGCCAACTTCATCGGCTTCATCCCCTCTAAGGGCATTGTTTTGGGCTGTTCCCCCTTATACAGGCAGCACTTCATGGGGCTTGTAGTACCGCCTACACGAATCGCGATTTAGGACTGCTAATTAGTATAAGGGGGAACATCCCACGCAGAACCTAAGACCTTGTAATAGAGGGGCCTTAGCAAATAAAAAGAAGGGCTTGGGGGTTATTAATAGTACATGTATTTCGTGACCATAAGAGAATACGATTAGTCTGCATTTTAATTCGCCCCGTCTACTTATTATAAACCCTAAACCCTAAAACCCAGAAGCGATGATTCCCGGAACGCCTCGGCTGAAAAGCGATCCAAGCCCAACAAAGTCCCGGAACCCTCAACCCTAAACCCTAAACCCTCGAACCCTTCCAAGGTACCCAGGCCCTGGCACTTGGGGGGTACTTGGGAGGGCTTCCATAGCCTGGGCTTAGAGCATGGGCTTAATTAGGGTCCAGGGTTTGTGGTAAAGCCCCTAAACCCCTGAAGCTTAGGGTTCGGGCTTAGGGCCCCTAAAACCCCTAAATGCTGGAGGATGGAGATGGAGATCGCATAAGCTCCGCACGACCGGGCTCCGGATTTCGGCAGTAGCTGTGCCTGTGGAGATTGAGCTTGTTGCTTTTCTAGTTCATGGTTGAGATAGTATTAAAAATGTTAATATCAATTCCTTCTTGAGTTTAAGCACCCTTAGAAATTTTAAATGATGCCCCACTATGGCGCGGTTTTGGGAGGCGGCGAGGGGGGGAGGTTCGGGTTTAGGCTTTAGGGGTTGGGGAGATGTTTTGGGGCTGAGGCGGGTTCGGGTAGTTTTAGGGCTCTGGAGCTCTGGATCACGGCACCGACCCTCCGCGACCTAAACCCTAAACCCTAAAGCCTGAAACCCTAAACCACGCATCTGAGTCCGTGACCCCCTCAACTCTGGAAATCGGTCGGCGTAGTCGCCAACACCTCGGCAGCGGCGCGTTCGCGGGTTTAGGGTTTAGGGTTTAGGGTTTAGGGTTTAGGGGTTAGGGTTTAGGGTTTAGGGTTTAGGGTTTAATTAGGGTTTAGGGTTGAGGGTTTAGGTTTAGGGTTTAGGGTTTAGGGTTTAGGGTTTAGGGTTTAGGGTTTAGGGTTTAGGGTTTAGGGTTTAGGGTTTAGGGTTTAGGGTTTAGGGTTTAGGGTTTAGGGTTTAGGAGCGGATGGGCTTGCTACTGAAGCGGGTTTGTGAGTGCGTCTCGCCCGAAGGAGACAAAGCCTAGATGTCTCAACCAGAAACATCCAAACCCCTAAACCCTAAACCCTAAATCCTAAACCCTAAACCCTAAACCCTAAATTCACTAAATCTGCAACCCTATGTCACTGCACCCGGATCAAGCTGGGAAAGCTCGAGCTTGAGGCCAGCGCTATCCCAGCCTCGGACATGCAACGAGAAATTGTTTGGGGTCTAGGGTCTAGGGTCTAGGGTCTAGGGTCTAGGGTCTAGGGCTAGGGTCTAGGGTCTAGGGTCTAGGGTCTAGGGTTTAGGGTTTAGGGTTTAGGGTTTGGGTTCAGGGTTTAGGGTTCAGGGTTCAGGGTTTGCGCTTAGGATGTAGGGAGTCAGGGTCTCTGAACTCGCGTCTTTGAGGCCTCAAGGAGGAAAAACCGTATTTGAGTTGTTTCAAGCCTCTCGTTTTCTCGGCGTTCCAGATTCCGGGGCGGATGGGCGGATGGGTTTTTAGGGTGTAGGGTTTAGGGTTCGGCATGACCTTGGCGGGGCTTAGGGGCTGAGGGGCAGGGGGGGGGAGTCTAGACGCTAAACCTTATAAACTCTGAACCCGAAAACAAAACGATCAACCCAGAACCAACCGCAAGTCCGTCGACCCGCGTGCTCCCTTCGTCCCACACCCCTGAAGCCCGCGGCCCTAACACCCCAATGCCCTACCCCCCCCCCCCCCCGTAAACCCCTAGACCCTCAATCCCAAAACCCGAAAACCCAAACCCCTAAAACCCTAAACCCCCGAAACCCTAAACGCCAAAACCCTGGAAGCCCTGAAGCCCGAAACCCGTGAAACCCTCAACGCAGAAACCCTAAAGCCCTAAACCTCTGAACCCCAAAACCCCTCACGTCGCCGCCCCTGTGCCCCGCGCTGACGCACGGGTTGCCCTTCTCGCTGACATCCTGCACTCGCCAACACTTGTGTGGGTTTAGACTTGAGGGTTTAGGGTTGTGGTCCCCCCGAAGTCCGAAGATGCCAGCTTCAATCCGTCCAGCCCTGAAGGCTTCAGGCGTTCAGGGCCTTGGCTTCAGCACAGGAAGGCAGGAAAGCCTACACCCTCCACCCTAAACCCTAAACCCTAAACCCTAAACCCTCAACCCTCAACCCTAAACCCTAAACCCTAAACCCTAAACCAATCCCTAAACTTAAGGCCCACAAGCTTCAGGCTGTCAAGGCCTTGCGTGAATGTAGAGCCCAGAGAATCCAGGAGGCCAGACCGAGCCAAAACCATCTGAAGCCGGTTTAGGGTTTAGGGTTTAGGGTTTAGGGTTTAGGGTTTAGGGTTTAGGGTTTAGGGTGTCCACAGGCCCCATTCGATGTAGTAGTTGTCTTTCGGTCATCCGCGACATTCACACAAGTTGCAACCTCTCTAAGGCCGGAATGGTCGGTTGGTTGGAAAGGGAATATGTTTTATTGAGGGTCCAGATTTGTTCGGGGCGCCCTGCTGAAGCGAGTCAGTGCTGGTCTTGAGAATTAAGAGTGTTCAACCCTAAACCCTAAACCCTGGACTCTGGGCATCTCTCCTGGCAGCCGGCATACTCCACGCCACGCCATCCGTAGCCTGCTTAGGATAGGGTCGTTTGGGGTTCAGGGTTGAGGGTTTAGGGCATAGGGTAGCTTGAGGGTCTATAGGGGGGGCTGCTCTTCGGGGGCCTTGGGGGTTTTAAAGCTCAAGCATTTTTGGGCTCCATCGGCATTGAGGCTTCAGGGTTTGGGGCAGGGATGGACGGGGCCTAAGGACGAGCTGGGCTGAGAGAAGCCGGTGCAGGTCGCTTGCGCTGCATTTTGGGGTTTAGGGTTTAGGGTTTAAACTAAACACTGCTGAGCAACTCCTGTGCCCAGACTCGAGCTGAAAAAAGTGCGCTGAGGACATCTGGCACAAACTCTGAATGATGCTGCATGGCATCAGCGACAGCTTTACCCTAAACAAACCCCCCAAAACCCTGAACCTCCAACGCCCTGTAAAACCCTCAAACATTCAACCCCTAGACCCTAAACCCTAAACCTCAAACCCTCAACCCTAAACCCCAAACCCTAAACCCTAAACCCCAAACCCCAAACCCTAAACTAAACCCTAAACCCTTAAACCCAAAGCCCTGGGCCCCCCTCCGCCCCCTACGTGCATGTTCAGGCTCCGGCTCAGTTCGTCGCAGGTCTGCGATGAGCTCAGCTGGCCAATCTGAATCTTGGAGTTGATGTAGAGGTCTGCCTGGCTTAGGGTTTAGGGTTTAGGGTTTAGGGTTTAGGGTTTAGGGTTTAGGGTTTGGGGTTTAGGGTTTAGGGTTTAGGGTTTAGGGTTTAGGGCTGGTCATGGAAACGCGGAAGGATTTCTAGTTCCATCATAAAACAAGGACGTGCTCTACCGTAGTCGTAGGTTGGGTCCATATCGTGGGGGTTTGGAGTAACCAAACGATCCTTCCAGAGCTCGACCTGTCTAGGTGTAGGGTTGAAGGGCTGTTCGCACCTAAACCCTAAACCCTATTAACCGTAAAACCTCAAGCCCTAAACCTAAACCCTAAACCCTAAGCCCTAAACCCTGAAGGCGGGAGGGTGGGGCTTTTTGGGACTAAGGACTGAGGGCTTAGAACCCTCGGCCCCAAAAAAACCCAAAACCCTAAACCCTTAAACCCCTAAACCCTAAACAAAAAACCTGGGGTTTGGGGGGTTTGGGGTTTTAGGATTTTAGGGTTTAGAGTTTAGGGTTTAGGGTTTGGGGCTTAGGGTTTAGGGTGTAAGTGCGCGGAAGAACACCCTGTCCTTCGGAGACCCTGTTCCTAGTTCATGGTTGCATTAAAAAAACAAATCTATATTCCTTATGGGGTTTTAGTATCCTTAAAAATGTAAAATGTTACCCAACTATCAACCGTAGGTTGGGATAGTATGAAAATATTAGCTGTATAATCCTTATCGGGTTTAAGTCCCCTTAAAAAGGTGCGAATGAGGTCTTACGCGGCAGAGATGTTGCGCAGAAGGTTTAGGGTTTAGGGTTTAGGGTTTAGGGCTTAGGGTTTAGGGTTGAGGGTTGAGGGTTTAGGGTTCCACAGCCCTAAACGGCCCCAAACCCCGAACCCGACTGTGCTTGCTGCGAATCAGGGTCGGCGATCCCCAATGCAGGTTGAGGGTTTAGGGCTTAGGGTAGGGTTTAGGGTTTAGGGTTGAAGAAGCAGTTCCCTAAATTAGGGTCCCGTGTATAGTACGGCACCCTGAACAAAAGGACCAGAGGAAAGGGACCCTAACTTAGAGAACTTCCCACATATGCAGGAAGGGAATTAGGGCTTAGAGGGTGTAGAGTATGGGGTTTAGGGCTTAGAGAGTTTTAGGGTTTAGGGCTTGGGGTTTAGGGCTTAGGGTTTAGGGCTTAGGGTTTCGGGCTTAGGAAACAAGATCATGGCAGCCGGTGCCTCCATATCGTCGTAGAGCGGATGCCAGCGGATCTTCTCGACGCGGGCATTCGTGAAAGGGCCAAAGTCCACACCTGGGCTTCGGGTTTAGGGCTGAGGGCTTCGAGCTTGGGGGCTTAGAGCTTGGGGTTAAAGGTTTGGGGTTTGGGGTTTGGGGTTTAGGGTTTGGGGTTTAGGGCTTGAGGCTTCGGGGTTGGGGCCTGAAGATCTGAGAGGTCCCCGTTGGCGCAAGCCCACCCGAAACTCCGAGTTTAGGGTGTAGGGTTTAGGTTTTTTGGGGTTTAGGGTTTAGGGTTTAGGGTTGAGGGTTTAAGGTTTTTAGGGTTTAGGGTTGAGAGTTTAGGGTTGAGGGTTGAGGGTTTAGGGTGTAAACCCTGAGATTGATTCTGTGACAAGTACATAATACTGTCAATACTAATAAAGACAAGAGCAAAAGTAAGAAGTTTCACTACGATTGTCATGAACATAGGTCCTTCGAGAAATAAGGCATCATCTACGAGAAAGAATCAAAGAAAACATGAATCCTCTCAGGGAGAAGGCAGAAAGAGATGGCCCCAACGATCAAGCAGAACGTAATAGGAGACAATTCTAAACAGGACGTGATAGAGCTCGTATCCAAGTCTCAGGGTTTCGGGCTTAGGAATTTAGCGTTAGGACTAACAGCCCTTAATCGGGATTAAAGTACCCCGTATTATGATCCCGAGTAGGGACTGTTAGTGAAAAGGGGAACATCTCAAATCAAACTCTTTATCATGGATTTTTTGTCGGTGCGGGGGGGGGGGGGGTTCTTCCGCAAATAGTGGGCCCAGAAAACCCCGTAACTACGGAACATACCTCAAGCTATGCTATTGTTATTCTTCTGAGTTGAAGAATACGAGGCTTTAAACCCCTGAACCCTAAACCCTAGACCCTATAAACCCACAACCCTATAAACCCTATAAAACCCTATAAACCCCATAAACCCTATCAACCCTATCAACCCTATAGACCCTATAAACCCTATAAACCCCATAAACCCCATAAACCCTATACACCCTGTAAACCCCAAAACCCTAAACACCAAACCCTATAACCCTCACCCCTAAACCCTAAACCCGTAAACCCTAAACCCTATACCCCTCAACCCTAACCCCTAGACCCTAAACCCTGCATTAGGGCATTGGGATCTCGAGGCTCGACTGCACCCACCCCCGCTTGGCCGCCCGCCCACGTGGCAGTTGGTGCCCGTCGTTCCTGTCGCAACGCAGCAGGGTTTAGGGGTTTAGGGGTTTAGGGGTCTAGGGGTCTAGGGGTTTGGGGTTTAGGGCCGTTTAGGGTTTAGGGTTTAGGGTTTAGGGTTTAGGGTTTAGGGTTTAGGGTTTAGGGTTTAGGGTTTAGGGTTTAGGGTTTAGGGTTTAGGGTTTAGGGTTTAGGGTTTAGGGTTTAGGGCTCGGGTTTAGGGGTTGAGGGGTTGAGGGGTTGAGGGGTTGAGGGGTTGAGGGGTTGAGGGGTTGAGGGGTTGAGGGGTTGAGGGGTTGAGGGGTTGAGGGGTTAGGGGTTGAGGGGTTGAGGGGTTGAGGGGTTGAGGGGTTCAGGGGTTGAGGGGTTGAGGGTTGACCCCAAAATCTGCCCTGGGAGTCTTGGGTTCCAAACCCTAAACCCCAGACCCCTAAACCATTAAATACCCCCTAAGCCCCTACACCCCTAAACCCCTACACCCTAAACCCTAAACCCCTAAACCCTAAACCCTAAACCCCTACACCCTAAACCCGAAACCCCCGCAAAAACCCGAAACCCTCAGACCGAAACCTCAAGGTGGTCGGGGCGGGTCCGCCCACAGAGATGCACTTTGTGAAGCCCTATAACCCTAAACCCTAAACTCTAAACCCTAAAGCTGCGGGCATGGGGAGGCCCGCTGCGTGTCCTGGGCTTTGGCCTCTTGCCGCGCAAGTCGACGGCAGGGTGCATCATTCCAGGGTTCAGGGTTTAGGGTTTAGGGTTTAGGGGTTTAGAGTTTGGGGTTTAGGGCTTAGGGTTTGGGGCTTATGGTTTAGGGTTTGGGGGTTTTTGGGTTTGGGGATTTGGGGATTTGGGGTTGGCTAACCCATACTGATCTTGTAGTCAAAGGCCTCTCATCAGCCCGCGAGCCAACAACCTCAAGGCCAACTCTGACTCTCTTGCCCCAAAAGGCTCTAGGGTTTAGGGTTTAGGGTTTAGGGTTTAGGGTTTAGGGTTTAGGGTTTAGGGTTTAGGGTTTCGGGACTCTTACTTGAGGGTTTCTTGGAGGCAAAGGCCTTTTTATGTGAGGTTGTTGGTCCTAGTCTTGAGCCTAACGTCTTACTTCCCCAATAACCAAGGGAATTTATTATTCCTACTAAATCAGGAAACCCAAAAAGTTTAGGGTTTAGGGTTTAGGGTTTAGGGTTTAGGGTTTAGGGTTTAGGGTTTAGGGTTTAGGGTTTAGGGTGTTCAGCTTTTGGAGAAGTAAGTAACGGGCTGCTCCGTCCTCCCACGATTTCCGGATCGTCGTCGAAGGCTGCGACGCAGGTTGGATGACCAACCTGAAGAAGCTCCAAGGCCCAAAGGTTTAGGGTTTAGGGTTTAGGGTTTAAGGTTTAGGGTTTAGGGTTTAGGGTTTAGGGTTTAGGGTTTAGGGTTTAGGGTTTAGGTTTAGGGTTTAGGGTTTAGGGTGGTTCGGACCCAGGCTGCAGAAACCTGCTGCTACTATTATGATGTTCTTCTTCTTCTTTCTCTACAGTATTCTAGATTCCTAGCTACCGCGGCCAGTAAGTAGAGTTCTCGAGACAGATGCAAATGCAAGGCAAAAAGAAGCCCCTAAACCCTAAACCCTAAACCCTAAACCCTAAATCCTAAACCCTAAACCCTAAACCCTAAACCCTAAACCCTAAACCCTTCACATGTTGGGGGGCGGTCCGCAGGCCCCTCAACTCCCCTCGGAGCTTCCCGGCCTCGAAGTGAGCCTCGCCCACGCCATGGAAGCAGACCTAGGTGTGTTCCGTTTAGGGTTTAGGGTTTAGGGTTTAGGGTTTAGGGTTTAGGGTTTAGGGTTTAGGGTTTAGGGTTTAGGGTTTAGGGTTTAGGGTTTAGGGTTTAGGGGGTACATTAAGTAACAGCGAAAGAAGCAGGCTTCATGAAAATAAACCCTACCTGGGGCGGGCGGCTGTTTCCGCAAAACTGAGCCTTGCAACTACTCCCGAACCGCAAGAGCAATTGGTGGTTTCAGAAATTAGGGGTACCTTGTTAACGTTGGGGTCCTTACTATAAGGGAATCCTACTATATTTGGGGGTCTATATTCGGGGTCCCTTATTTTCGTACACCAAGGTAGCCCAGTAACCAATTAATCACAGGGGCACCTTGTTTTCGGTTGGTGACTTTACCAGGGAACCTTGAACAAACAAGACAAGGGTTACCGCTGGGCTACCAAGGCAAGGGAGCTCGTGTGAAGGACTGGGGCTCAGGGTTTCGGGTTTAGGGCTAGTTTGGGGTTTCGGGTTTAGGGTTTAGGGTTTAGGGTTTGGGGTTTAGGGTTTAGGACTTGGGAGTGAGGGCCTGGTGTACAAAGGAGGGGCCCCCCTTACAAAACTAACTACAGTTAAGGGACCTAGAACCTAAGCTAGGATCCTTATCGCCCGATTTAGGATCCTTATAATTTTATTTATGAAAAGGGGGGCCCCTCCTTGTAGGACTGTAGGTGTAGGAGAAGGCTCATCTCAGGGTCCGTTTCTGAAACCTAGAACACCTGAACTAACCCAGAGATTCTTAGGTTTGGGGTGTAGGCTTTAGGGTTTAGGGTTTAGGGTGCTCCGAGTAGAGACTTGAGTTGATTTGAGTAGGCTACATGATCTCAAGCATGAGGTGCATGCCAATGTCCACCCCAAGACCCCTAACCTTAAACCCTAAACCCTAACCCCTAAACCCTAAACCCTAAACCCCCCTTCCCCGGGGCTGCCCACAGGAGTGGCCACCGTGGCCAAGCCGGCGTTCCTTGAGATGACCCGCGCGTTGGGCAGCACCTTGACGTAACACTTTAACCCTAAACGGCCCCAAACCTCAAACCCTAATCCCTAAACCCTAAGCCCCATGTAAACCCCGAGCCAGATTCTTGGGTCCTTTAGGGGGGGGGGGGGGGGGGGCGCCTTTTCAAGCGAGACGTGAGGCTTCCTTCCGGCATTTTGGGGCTTGAGAGCTTTGAAGACAAGATGCCCTTGGCGAAGATGGGGGGGTGACGTCTTGAAGATCCCGCCACGGAGGCTTTATACTGCTATTTGCGTGAGGGCACCCGAAAAGATATAAAAAAACTCTTCCTTATAAGGGAAATATAGAGATTATTATCTTGGGATGTGTGTGTGTTTTTTTTTTTTTTTTTTTTGGGGGGGGGGGGGGGGGTCGGGGGGTTCTTAAGCAAATGGTAGTATAAGCCCTTCTTCTAGGTTGGTGTGATTAAGCTCAGGACCTTAAGCTTCAGCTACTACATAGTAAGACGACCGTACGCAAGTACCACATGTTTTTCTTTACATAAAATCATGAATGTGTATATATATATATATACACATACATATCTGTTACAAATCTGTTCTTGAAAACCATTTCATGAATACCTATATATGTATATATATATATATGTATATATATATATATATAGATATACACATATATATATATATATATGTAGACATATATATATATATATATGTACATATCCGTCATTGTACAGGCTTTTCATGCCGTTGGGCGTCGCGTGTGGGCTTTAAGCCGAGCCTTCCTCCACCCTCTCCGTACAGGCACGTGGACACTCAACTTTCAACGCGAAACCCGAAACCCTAATTATCCCAAAACCCGAAACCCGAAACCCCAAACCCTAAACCCCAAACCCTAAACCCTAAACCCTAAACCCCAAACCCTGAACCCGAAACTGGGGACCCTGGGCTCCTGGCGACGGACTCCGACACGCCTGAAACCACCTCCGGTGTCGTCACCTGGGCTCGGCGCATCGTTGGGAACTGCGAGCCCCAAGCAACATGTGGGGTGGTTTAGGGTTTAGGGTTTAGGGTTTAGGGTTTAGGGTTTAGGGTTCGGGGTTTAGGGTTCGGGGTTTAGGGTTTAGGGTTTAGGGTTTAGGGTTTAGGGTTTAGGGTTTAGGGTTTAGGGTTTAGGGCCTCCCAGGGCATATGCAAACGCCGAACAAGAACCCAGACCTGGTAATTTTCGCTGGACGGCCGTCCTTTCGATGTTGGTTTAGGGTTTTAGGATTTAGGGTTTAGGGTTTAGGGTTTAGGGTTTAGGGTTTAAGGTTTAGGGTTTAGGGTTTGGGGTGTGGGGTTTGGGGTTTGGGGTTTGGGGTTTAGGGTTTAGGGCTGCAGAGGGATCCCGAATTTGAATTACCCTTAAAACCTTCTGTTGGATACTTCATCGCACCCGCAACCCCGAAGTCTAGGCTTGGGGGTTTAGGGTTTAGGGTTTAGGGTTTAGGGTTTAGGGTTTAGGGTTTAGGGTTTAGGGTTTAGGGTTTAGGGTTTAGGGGTTTTTGGTTTCAGGATCAGGCTGAAGGGTTTGGGGTTCGGCTGCACCCCTTCTTATCGTGAAATGTTGCAACCACTACAACAGGGGCCGCCTTAAGGCCTCAACCCTCAACATACCGCCGGCTTGCTGAAAGGAATCGTGCCAAAAGTTGTGAGAATGATCATACCCATGAGAATACCGAGAATTATGCCCCGCTCCTGCACCCCCTACTAACAGGTAAGTCAAGCCCAAACCCTAAACCCTAAACCCTAAACCCTAAACCCTAAACATCCCTAACCCTAAACCCTAAACACCAAAGACCTGCGCGTCGAGACGAGGCGGCGGCATTGGGCACGATACACTCCAGGGAGCTGTAGGTGCTGCTGACCTGAGAAGAAGGGTTTAGGGTTTCGGGTTTGGGGTTTGGGGTTTAGGGTTTAGGGTTTGGAGTTTGGGGTTTAGAGTTTAGGGTTCAGGGATCACCCGGAGGTTCTCGTGCAGTTAGAAGTAGGGTTGCAAGTGCCGCCCAGGTGCAACTATAAAAGGCAGGTAGCTACGGCCCTACTGGTAACCCCACTTGGAGCTACCCATGAACCCCCAAGTAGGGTTTACTTGCTGGCTCGTAGTAGGGAATGAGAGAATGAGGTACCGTATATACCCTATATGTATATATATATATGTGTGTACCCTTTAAGGGATTCTTTAGAGTTCGGGCATTGAGGCCGAAAATTTCAGGACTTCTGGGCGACGGGCAGTAAGCCCTAAAACCCCGCAGAAGAGTAACCCTAGGGCTCAAAATAGCCCAAAAGCCTTCCTTATAAGAGGGCCTTTAGGACGAAAAACCCTAACCTAAGAGTCGTTAGGTCACCGTAAAACCCTATTTCATTCCTAAACCCTAAACCCTAAACCCTAAACCCTAAACCCTAAACCCTAAACCCTAAACCCGTAAAAAACCCTGAAACCCGAAGAAGACCGAAGCTTGGCCCGCAGCCACTTCGCAGGGGCGGCCGCAGACGGTGGCTTCGACGTAGGTGTCCGCACCTGTCGCCGGGGACCCCCCCGGAAATTTAGGGTTTAGGGTTTAGGGTTTAGGGTTTAGGGTTTAGCCCTACCCCCTCTTCTGGCCCAGAGCCCCAGTCTGGGCTTGAAAACCTGGGTCTGGGCCAGATGAAGATGAAGGCTTTGCGGGGCCGGGCAACTACGGTCGAGGGGGATATTTAGATCAGCACCCCATCAAGCAAAACAAAAATCCAGAATGTAAGCAATCAGCGCCTCAGCAAGCCTGTTCTTAGTCTTTCTCATCATCCCTGGCTTTTTTCTTTGTTTTAAAGGGACCCCCCAAGGGTTAGGGCTAAGCAAAATCCGCATGTCATGTCAGATGATTCGGCATTTTAGAGGTAGCTTACCCAACCTTGGTGGTGGACCTCCTCGGACCCCCTCACCTTAGTGACCTCCTCTCTGGCTGTCTGACCTCCAGAGGAAGCTCCCTGGAAGTCCAAAGGACAAGGTAGCGACGGGTGTTAGGGAAAGACCACGAAAGCCCTGACCCCATAAGAAATTTGACAGGGTAAGGAGGCAGCAAAGGAAATGATCAAAAAGGAGACTTGGAAGCCTTATTTTCCTGACAAATATGCACTGCAGTCGTCGAGAGATAGAAAAAAAAATATATATATATATATGAGGCAGGAACCTTTACGTATGATTTGACATAGGTCTTTTGTTTATATACAATGGACTATATAAACTCTAATCTCTTTGGCCAGACACTTTCTGTTGCTGGCTCCTTCTGCCACAAAAGCAGAAGCATTTAAACCTTTGGAAGCTATTATAACTATTACATATTTAAACTTCAACAGTTCAACCCTTGTTTTTTTGAGAGAAAGGGAGTAACCACAGAATTGACGAGATTTCGGGCTTAGGGTAATGGACGGAAGGTTTCTACAAAGAAAGGGTCTAACCGAGTCTAACCACAGAACTTGACGAATTTGGTGTGTAGGGTTTAGCCGAAGGCTTTTGAAGAGAAAGGGTCTAACCGACACGCTTTTCTATACCGTATTGTTTTTACAAAACCCACAGAAGCTAACTGAAACTAAATTGCACAACGTTCGTTTCGGTTGCTTCTTTATGTGTGCTGTCTTTGTTGAATAAGTTGTTCTTTCCGTAGACCTTGCGCTATTTCTCTTTTCTCAATGCATTTTGTTTTGTTGCAGAACAACAAACTCTAATCGAAACTAAGTTGCTCAACTTCAATTCCTTTTTTCATCTCTCTCTCTCTCTCTCTGAATCATGGTGGTTTCCATAGCCTTGTGCTGCTGTTCAATGCATTTTGTTTTGTTATTGTAGTGTGAGCCACAGAATTCAATCGAAAGTCATGTGTCTAGGTCATGTGAAAGCTCTTTTATCTCTGTGTAGGTAATGAGTGCCCTTGCCTCTTCGGAAAAGGGGTCCTCCAAGGGCTCCCCTCTCTCCTTCTTCTTTTTTGGGGAATGATAGAGCTCCTTATTTACACCTTATGAAAAAGCCTTTCTCCTACTTGAAGAAGTGTTTCCTAGACAGAGATAGAGGAGATCTTCCATTTCCTCGAGAGACAGATCTTTCATTGGAAACAAATACAGGAGGACTTTCATGTCCCATTAGGAGAGAGAGGAGCTCTCTCCTGCTGCATTAAAAGATAGAGGACATCGTTCGTGTCCAGTTTTCATTTCCTATAAAGGAGAGGGGGGAGGGGGGGGGGAGGCCGGCTTAAATAGGGTTTATTTGGAAGCTGAGGGTCGTGTTGTGGTGTGGTAGATAGAAAGGACAGGGCATGAGAAAGTAACGAGAGGAGCTCTTCAATTCCCTTCCTTATCTCCTATGCTCTTTTCCTTCTTATTGCAACAGGAGAAGACAGGAAAAGGGCTTCCATTCCCCTCTTGTTCTTCCTTTCTTGTGTTTTTGTCATTTAGAGAGGAACAGGAGAAGAGGAGGGAGAGAGAATGAGAGAGGAGAGATAACAGGAATCCAATTTCAATGGAATAGCAAAGAAAAGAATAGAAGAGAGATGAATAGAGAAGAGGGAGAAGACAAAACAAGGCGCTGAGAAGATGACACTCTTCTTTATCTTTCCTCCCTCCCTTATCTCTCCCTTCCCTCTTTCTTTTCGAAATAAGAACAACTAAACAGGAAGAATTATGAAAAAAGGAGAACAGTAAGAAAAAAGAGCAGAAGAGATAGGCCGAGAAGAGGGATATGATGAAGTACGGCAAGGTCCACGCGCAAGGAGTCACCCTCTGCCTTACCTTCCACTGCTTTATCATGCAAGTTCCTGTCTTGTGTTTTATCAGATAAAAAGAAACTAGAAGGAGAGAAGGGAAAGGGAAGTGAGAGAGGAGAGAGATAGCAAGGAGGCAATTTATTTTTCTGGAAGGGTACTGAACAGAAGAGAGGAGACAAGAAACAAGGAGACGGAGGAACACAAGGTGCAAAGGAGATGGCACTCTTCTTTATCTGTAATCTCTCCCTTCCTTGTCTCTCCCTTTTCCCTCTATAATTCAACAAGACAAGACTATTCTTGCTCTTCGCAGATAGGTGCCCTCTCTCCTCTTCAGGAAGCCCCCTTGCCCTCATTTTGCTTGCTTTCTGAAACGACAAGGAAACAACACATAGAACGAGAGGAAAGGGAATGAAACAATAGGCAGTGGAGCTCTTCAATTTGTTTCCCTATCTATTTTTTCTTTTCTTTTTTCATTCAAAAAGGCAAAGAAGCTTCCTTTTGTGTGTTTTTGAGATTTAAAGGAGAACAAGAGAAGAGAAGGGAGAGATAAAGGAGAACAAGAGAAGAGAAGGGAGAGAGAGCGAGAAAGGAGAGAGAAAAGAGAGAGGAGAGATCAAAAGGAATGCAACTCTAATGGGAAGAGCAATGACAAGAATGGAAGAGAAATGAAGACAGGCGAGGGAGGCGCAAAAATCAGGCAAAGAGAAGACGGTGCTCGTTTTCATCTTTCCTCTGTTTCTTATTTTTCTCTTCTCTTGTTCATTTCCGTTAGAAAGAAAAGACAAAAGGAAGAACAATTAATGAACATGTAAGCAAACCCAGCTGATGCTCATGATTTCTCTCTCTCTCTCTCTCTCTCTCCTTATATATGGGCGATGGAACGGGTGTCCTGTTTGATCGTTTTCTGCATCTTCAAGCGAGGAAAAGGGACACCCCACAAGAAAGCACTTAGGGTGTCCCTTTTGCTCGTTTGAAGACACAGCAAGCGATTAAAAGGGACGCCCGTTTTGGATTAGCAGCAAGCCCAACTGATGCTCATGATTTTTCTCTCCCCCCATATATGGGCGATGGAACGGGTGTCCTTTTGGATCGTTTTCTGCATCTTCAAGCGAGGAAAAGGGACACCGCAAGGAAACACTCAGTCAGGGTGTCCCTTTTGCTCGTTTGAAGACACAGAAGGCGATTAAAAGGGATGCCCGTTTTGGATCGGCAGCAAACCCAGCTGATGCTCATGATTTCTCTCTCTCTCTCTCTCTCTCTCTCTCTCTCTCTCTCTCTCTCTCTATGGGGGCGATGGAACGGGTGTCCTTCCTGATCGTTTTCTGCATCTTCAAGGGGGAAAGAAGGGCACCACCCAAGAAAGAATAGTAACATCAGATGTAGGGAGGGAAATTGAAGGGCTCCTCTCTTTACTTAGTCATTCCCTTTCCTCTCTTGTTATCTGTTGTTTTCTTCGCTTCAAAAAGCAAAATGAGGGAAAGGATATTTCCTGAAGAGGAGGGAGGGCACCTATCTGTAAAGAGCAATCGTTTAGAGGGGAACAGGAGAAGAGGAGCGAGAGAGAAGGAGAGAGGAGAGATACAGGGAATCCAACTTCAATGGAATAGCAAAGAAAGAATAGAAGAGAGATGAATAGAGAAGAGGGAGAGACAAAACAAGGCGCTGAGAAGATGGCCCTTTTCTTTATCTTTCCTCCCTCTCTTATCTCTCCCTTCCCTCTTTTTTTTCGAAATAAGAACAACTAAACAGGAAGAATTATGAAAAGGAGAACAGTAAGAAAAAAGAGCAGAAGAGATAGGCCGAGAAGAGGGATATGATGAAGTACGGCAAGGTCCACGTGCAAGGAGTCACCCTCTGCTTTACCTTCTACTGCTTTATCACGCCAGTTCCTTTCTTGTGTTTTATCAGTTAAAAAGAAACTAGAAGGAGAGAAGGGAAAGGGAAGTGAGAGAGGAGAGAGATAGCAAGGAGGCCATTTTTCTGGAGGCGTGCTGCCGTGTTTGAAGAAAGCAGGGCGGTTCAACAGTACCAAATTTTCAAAACAACCTCTAATAAAATTTGGTACTGTTGAATCGCCTTGTTTTAAAGCTGGGGTGGGGCTCTACCATCATTTGCAGGCCTCTACTATGACAGAAATGCTCGCCGGTAACGGGGCTTGTAACGGAAACTGTAACGGAAAGGAGCGGAGCTGTAACGGACTTGTCGCGAAGCTGTAACGGAGCCGTGTCGGAAGGCTGCAACGGAGCGCTACCGGCTGTAGCGATGCTGTAACGGAAGCTCTAACGGAGCCGTAGCAGAAGCAACAACTTGATAACGGACCTGTAACGGAACTGTAACGGAGCTGTACAACTGAGCTGTAACGGGAGCTGTGGCGGAGCTGTAAGGGAGATGTAACGGAGCTGTAACGGAGCAGTGTAACTGAGCTGTAACGGAAGCTGTAACGGAGCTGTAACGGAGGTGCAACGGAGCTGTAACGGAGCTGTAACGGAAGCTGTAAAGGAGCTGTAACGGAGGTGCATCAGAGCTGTAACGGAGCTGCAACGGAAGTGTAACGGAAGCTGTAACGGAGGTGTAACGGAGGTGCAACGGAGCTGTAACGGATCTCTATAGGAAGCTGTAACGGAGGTGCAACGAAGCTGTAACGGAACTGTAGCCGGTGCTGTAACGGAGCTGTAACGGAGGGCCCACGGTGGGTAGCGCAAATCCCATAGTAAATGATGGTAGAGCCCCCCAATTTTAAAGGAAACAGGGCGGCTCCGTTGCCTCTTAAAGGAATGAGATACTTTTTTCGAGAATGAGAAAGTGCCGTTTCCACTTCAATAGGAAAGGAAAGAGAAGCGATATGAAGCAAGCTTCTCCGCCTCTTAAAGGAATGAGGTACTATTTATCTGAGTAGGAAATGAGAAAGTTCCTTTTCCACTTTCAATAGGAAAAGAAAGAGAAGCGATTCTGCGGCTCGGAATTCCTCTACCTGGTCCCTACCTTGTAGCTACTTACGACATCTTGGCATTAAATGAAAGAGCCATTCATTGTTGAACTCAACACATGATGAGTTTCCTCTAGCTGGCAAAAAAGGCAACCGGACTGAGATGAATAGAGCATGAGAAAGTTCCTTTCCACTTTCAATCGGAAAGGAAAGGGAAACGGTTCTGGAACTCGGAAGTCCTCTACCTGGTCTGTACCTTGTAGCTACTCTGCTTCTTGGTATTAAATGAAGAGCGCCATCGCTGTTTAACAAGACATGAAGAGTCCCTCAAAGCATGACAAACCCCCTCCAGTCCTCAGGAAGAAAAAAGACAGCTCCTATATCGCTTCATGCCCTGTAAGTCCTAATGGGATAGGGATCCATGAAGAGTTCGTCTAGCTGTAAACAGAGGCACCAATCTATTTCCCGATAGGAAAGGAGCATGACAAAGCGAACGAAGACATAAAGCCAAAAGCCCCTGTACTTCGTAATCGGAGAGGGGGGCGGGAGAGCGTGACAGAGCTTTTGCCTCTTTAAACAGCAATGAAGAGAGCTCCTCTACCTCTTATAAAGGAATGCGATACGAGAA